GACAGTGAGAGAGGGAACACAAGCAGGGGGAGTGGGAGAGGGAGAAGCAGGCTTCCCGCTGAGCTGGGAGCCTGATGTGGGGCTGGATCCCAGGACCCTGGGATCATGACCTGAGCCGAAGGCAGACGCTTAACAACTGAGCCACCCAGGCACCCCAATAAGCTTTTTATTTGAGAACAGTTTTGAATTTTCAGAATTATTGCACAGATAGTAAGACAGTTCTCATATATTCCATTTCCCCTATCATTAACATCTTACATTAGTATGGTACATCTGTTGCAATTAACAATAGTAATACATTATTATTAAGTAAAATCCATATTTTATTCATATTTCTTCAGGTTTTTTTTCCTAATGTCCTTTTTCTGATCCAGCATCCCATCCAGGATATCATTACATTTAGTCATGTCTCCTCAGGCTCCTCTTGGCACCCAGTTAAATTTTCATTTCAGACAAACAACAAATACTTGTTTTCTTTTTATTGTCTGTATTTCCTACCCATTTTGAGTTAAAGCTCCCCTTTTCTGTCTTCCAAGATTGGCAACTGCTTGCCTCTTTCATTGCACTTCTCAAACTACGTGGCAACTGTTGGTTTAGCAACTGCTAGAAGGTCAGAGTTTCTCCCTCTTTGACTTTTATCATCATTGTCTAGCATAAGGCTTGACTTATAATGGGTATTCAGTAATTGTTAAAACAATGATGAATTATTAGAAATGCAATTATATAAGTAAATTCCCCAGTACAGTGTATGGTTCAAAATAGGCATGGACAAGTGTTTGCTTTTCCTTAGGGAGAAACACAAAATGTCTTATAAATTTAAAGACAGTTCTTATCTCAGCTTGATCAATGTCAATTCTAAGATCCTTAATAAAACCAGATGTGTGGATTGATTTGAAACACTCAGAATAATCAATCAACAAGTATTTATTGATTATACTCAAGCACTTTGGGGACAATAAAGAAAATACGGAAGTAGTTGTAGTTACACTTTCAAAGAACAAAGATCAGGCTGGCATTAAGTGAGAGGGAGTTTCTGAGTGGTTGGGCCCTTTATAGAATTATGAAATCGTTGTTTGCCTCCCTTTGCCCATCTCTTTCACCCTCCTTTCTCTGCCACCCCTCCACTTTTTCTTTCTCCACCAAAAACTATCCAGAGATGTTTCCTCTCCCGCCTTCCCAGGTTGCGTATCTCCCTGACCGCCTAGTATCTCCACTCCACTGCCTTCAGCATTATACTCCTCTGTTATGGAATGTTTTTGTGCCCTCACTGGCTCCCCAAATTCATGTACTGAAATCCCAACCCCTACATGATGGTATCAGGAGGTGGAGGCCTTTGGGAGATAATTAGGTCATGAGAATAGAGCCCTCATTAATGGGATTACTGCCTTACAAAAGAGACTCCAGAGACCTCCCTCACTCTCTTTGCTATGTGAGGATACAATGGGAAATCAACCTCATCTTCAACCCAGAAGAGAACCTTCACCAAGTGACCATGCCAACACCCTGATCTCACATTTCAAGCATCCACAACTGTGAGAAATAATTGCTGATTAAGCCCCCCAGTTTATAGTATTGTGTTACAGCAGCCCAAACTAAGACACCATCCCTACCAAATTTTAACAAGCGCGGACTGTCACTGCGGAAAGAAATCAATCTGATTAACCTCAATCTTTGGGAGAGTGATAATAATTTAATCTAAACTAACAACAAATCAGAGACTGGCCAGAGCAATTACCTCTTTACAGGGAGCAATAAACCAGGTGAAATTAAAACAGGGCCTAATCGAAACCAATCCTTCCATTCTTCTCTGACCACTGCTCTCTGTTATCAAAACTTATCTTCCATCTTCTGCTCCTTAGCTGTGGTCCTACCTCTCCCCTTCTCACTCAGTCTTAGAGCCCCCCAAAAAGAAATGCTTCCCTTTGGATATCAACTCCTGGTGATATCTTTTCTGTGACTTTTTTCAAATCAGTACATCTATCCATTTGTATTATCCAAAACATTTATTTAGCAAGTCTAGCACCCATTTATTTTATATCTCAAATACTAAATTGCCTTCAGCTTTTTTATCCCTACCTCTAGCCCAAACAAAGCAGTTTCCTTTATTGGTCATCTGCCTAGTACAGTGCCAGACACATATGAAGGTAGCCACTAAATGTTACTATTTTTATTCCCTAACACATTTTCAAATCTATTCAAATGCCTATTAA